TGCTCTCAGGGGATGCGCCTGCAGCATGGGTGACTCGATATTGCAACGAGTGAAAAAGCGTCCCTGCATACCACCGTTGCAGCAGGCGAGACCGTTCGGGTTCAGGATGTACCTGGAGTAACCAAGCCTGCTTGAAACAGAAACGGTCCTAAGCAACATCAGTATCAGTACCAGTACACCCTTTTGTTAAAACGTGTCTTGGCTGTAGGTAAGCCCCTTGAAACCTAAACCCTCAAATTGAACAGCTTTAAAGCTCCACCCACGCTGTGCAGGATGATTCTCCCGCTTGGGCTGAATGCAAGTCCTGAATTCACCGATCAATGTAGACATCCTGGGTCCGTTTAGGGTCCTGGGTGGTACCACCCCCACCCTTCTTGAGGGTCCTTTCATATCAGGATCCCGATTAACAGCCTTATGCCCTTGTTGGGAGAGGGTTTCTCAAGCCTAAACCCTAGGCCTTAAGCTTAGGCCCTACTTCCTGCACGACGTGTCACACCACAGTCCATTGGGAGGATCCGCGGGCAAACTTTGGAAGTGAAGCTTTGCGCGGGCAAGGTATCCCCAAGCCCTGAAATGCTTGAATCTTGGGAGCTAGGATTAGGGGGACCCTTGGGGATATAGACCCTCTCAATAAGGTCCCGTTTAAGAGAGCCAAAAGTAGGGTTCAGAAGGGGTACCCTTTAAGGGGTACCCCTAATAATACTACCTAAATCTCTGAACTCCCAGGCCCTGAAACCTAATTCCAATACTTCACAAAGCCTTATAAGCCCCATGCCCAACAATTCACAATTCAGAAAGACCTTTACAAGCCCCAGACCTCCCAATTTTCTAAATCGCAAGCCTCGCCTGCATTGTCCGAGTGTGAGAGCCGAAACTCTGAATCTAATAAATCGCCAAGCTCTGAGCCCATGGGTCCAAAGGACCTGGTAACCATGTACTTGGGTTACGGATGGTAGTTTTGTAGGTTAGTGTTCAGAAGAGTATATGAGTAGTTCTCTAAATTAGGGTCCCTTTTTAGGTCCCCAATATAACACGGCACCCTTATGAAAAGGACCCTAAAAGGACCCTCATTGAGAAGAAAACCCATATTATGATTATGTGGCACTTGGACCCTTAGGGTAAGCCAACCTCAATCCTTTCAGTTTGAACCCCCTTAAGCCCGAAAAGTAAAACTAAACCCTCCTGCTAGTCAGTCTGCTCAGACTCTTAGCCCTACTTACTCTAAGCCCTAAGCTCTAAATCCTAAACCCTAAACCGTAAACCCTAAACCCCTCTAAACCCTAAACTCTAAACCCTACGTACACCCTAAACCATAGACCCTAAACTTCTGAAACTCTTGCAAAGCTCGCGGGTCTCCTACGTCGGTCCTGAGCTCTACAGAATGAAGAGCCGAAGGATCGCCTCCAGAAGGCTGGAGTCGCTCTAGCTTTGGGGTTTAGGGGTTTAGGGGTTTAGGGGTTTAGGGGTTTTGGGTTTAGGTGTTTAGGGGTTATAGGGTTTAGGGGTTTAGGGGTTAGGAGTTTAGGGGTTTTGGGGTTTTGGGGTTTAGGGTTTAGGGGCTTAGGATTTAGGGAGCCTCATCGCTTAAAGTGGTGGGTGGTCGGTATCGGTTGTTGCAAGTCTTTCCCGGTAGAGTCGCTGCAGACCGGACGCAAAAGGATTTAGGGAACCCACAGAGCCTGGTTTAGGGTTTAGGTATTTAGGGTTAAGGTGTTTAAGGTTTATTTGGGTGTAGGGGTTCAGGGTTTAAGGAATGTTTAAAGTTTCCCTGGGTTTAGCGATATAGGGTGTGGGGACGTGGGAATTTTGGAGGTCTGGCTTTGGGCATTGAGTTTTCATGTGGACCTATGTCTCATATCCACCGCCTGAACAGGATGTCTATACATACTGGGGACCCTAGAACCACGGCGTTGAAAGTTTAATTGCCGTGGTCGCCTAGCAGAGCTGTTGAGCTCTGGCCACTGAATATTTCAGTTCCTGTAGCACCCGCTAGCCTAGATCCTGAGAGTTTAGGGTTTAGGGTTTGGAACTCGACACTGCTGCTACTTTGACCTTAGGAGATGTCTTTTGGGTGCCCTGGTGATAGAGACTGCAAGCCCTGGCTCCTAGGATTTGGAAAGTCACATTACAGACTCTGGCTGTTGATCAGAGGAGCAGACGGCCAAGCCGTACCTCTTTGCTCAGGTTGCCGGGTAGCTGCTTTCAGCTCAAGAGGTAGTTCCCTCCCGAACCACAGTTTTGTCTCCGCATGGCAATCAGCAAGCCGGGCCCAACCAAGGGAACTACTTCGAGGCATCTAGCACGGAAGCACTTGCAGCGAAAAAACCTAAACCCTAAACCCTAAACCCATTTGGGTGTATTGGGCTCTTGCCTTTGCTGGGCAGCAGGGCTACGCAATGATTCTGGATCTCAACCTTCCCGCCTTGTGGTAGGAAAGCTGACGATTCCGATTTCGGAAGTTTATCCGGTTCTATCTATAGTCGCGCCCTTCAAGCCTGAAGCGCTACCCCTTGACTCGGGATAAAGATCCTCACGCTGGATTGGGTTCCTAAGCCGTAAGAGGCCTACGAACCCGATGCCCTCCCCAAAGCCGAAGATTTCAGTGTTTCTGTTCGTCAGCCTACACCAGGAGGGCCTCCGCTCCACCCTGCAAGCGGTAAACCACAAACCCTAAGCCAAGCCGTTTCGGTTGTTCGGCGCACTTTGGCTCAAGGATCGCCCTTTGTTGAAGACAAAGGGCAGCCTTATGGCTGAAGAAGCTGTGAATTGTCTGATGAAAGATGCGATAGCAGTGTTTTAAGAACAAGTACCTAAAATATTCCTCAGGGCCCCTCATAACCGTACTGTTAAGCTGCTTGCCAAGGCTTTGACCTCCAAGTATCCTCAAGCACCCAATGCTTTGAGCCAGCAGCAAGCCTCAACCGACCCATACCGAGCACAGCAGCCACCATGAACGCGAGATCCCAGTACAGCCACACATTCCTTGTCCGTCCTCGACCCCTCGCCCTCAGCCCCAATTCCTACCCTTGAAATCCAAGCCCGGGAACAAGCCCCAAGCCTTTCAAGCCTTAAGACAAACCTTAAACCCTTTTAACTTGGATACTGCCCCCACTCAGTAACAGTTGGATAATGTTCATAATAGAGATCTATAAGGCCCTTAATAGTAGCCCTATTATAGACTGTTACTGTATGGGGGCAGCACCCAACTTTTAACCCTAAACCCTAAACCCTAAACCCTAAACTCTAAACTCTAAACCCAAACTTTAAACCCTTTTAACCCTAAAGCAGAACTAGGAGGCACTTCGAGGTATGCAGATGGAGCGAGGCAGTCAGACGATGCTAACCTCCAGGAATCCGGCGATCATGTGGGTGGTTGTCAAAAATAGGGGGGTACCTTATTTTGGGGTCCTTATAGTTAGGATCCTATTCTTTAGGGTACTATACTAGGGTCCCCTATTTTCGGGGTGGTTGTCAAAATGATGGTCCCTTTTTGGGTCCTTATTATAATACGGCACCTATAAGGGACAATAATTTTGACAACTACCCATGTCAACCTGCTAAGGTTCGGAATAGATATAAAAGCCTGCATAAGTGGTATAGAAAATTCCTTAGGGCTCCTTATTATAACTTCGAGTATGAGATACAGCCAAAATCCGATACTAGTTTCTCGGGTGTTTACATTCGGCTTGACCTTAACAAGGCCTACCATAACCTGCTGTTTTTGTAGGCTCCTAATCTACACCCTAGCAATGTATAGAGTTAATCGGCCCCTCCAAGAAAGGTGATTTCTGGTGGTTACGGTATTGTGTTTTGCGGTAAGACGGCATGAATGATGTATATAACATGGTCTTCAAGACCCGCAGATCAGAACCTTGCCACGGGTTGAAGAGCCTGGAGATTGGCGAATGCAGGGACGTTGTTGTTTGCTACGTTTGGCTTTTTCTAGACTCACTTGTCAAGAGGTTTGGCCCTGTACTGGGATCCCACATAGCTTCCTGAACAGCGCCTTATCATTCTCAGTGGTGGATGTTGTGCTCGGATGCCCCAAGGTCCTCAAGCCCTAAACCCTAAACCAACCAGCCAGCCAGCCAGCCAGCCAGCCAGCCAGCCAGCCAACCAACCAGCCAACCAACCAACCTAAGCACTAAACCCGACACTTCCTAGACCGAGGTAAGCATCGAAAACTTTGCATGTTTGGAGCTTTCGGGGATTGGCGGGCTGCAAGCCTTGTCTGTGCGAGGCTCTATCTATACGATGTATACAAAACATAAAAACATATTCTCATACATATATACATATAAAGATAGATAGACAGATAGATAGATATAAGGTAGGTAGATAGGTGGGTAGATAGGTAGGTAGGTAGGTAGGTAGGTAGGTAGGTAGGTAGGTAGGTAGATAAATAAATAGGTAGATAGATAAATAAGTAGAGAGATAGTTAGATAGATAAGATAAGATAAGGTAAGAGAAGAGAAGAGAAGATGCTAAGATAAGATTGATAAGATAGTTAGATAGAAGAATACTGTATGGATAGATACTGTATAGATAGATAGAAAGATAGATAGATAGATAGATAGGTAGATAGATAGATAGATAGATAGATAGATAGACAGATACCGTATATGTGGGAACATTGTCAGATAGATGAGCTTAGTTTTGCAAATGTTGGACCAGGTTTGACTAGGTCCGGTTAGGTAGGGTCAGATCAGATTAGACTGGATATAGGTAGATTGATAGGTAGAAGCTGTCAGATGGCTAGACAATCTATACCCAGTGACCAGAAAAGCCCACTTATTACTCTCTGTCTCTCTCTCTCTCTCTCTCTTTCCCTCTGTGTCTCGCCTCTGCTGCCGCCCTCCAACCATCTGCCCAGAAATCGGATCAATGCGCGGTCCCAAGACAGCTCAACATCTCGTCATTCAGTATTAGATAGGTCTTCCGTTGTGATTCACGGAATATCTCCCGGTCAAACAGTAGTGGGCTCTCTAGGGCCACCACAGGAGCGAGCCCGCTCTTCGACATCTTCGCCGCTCGAAACTGCCACCCATCGACCGAGCGCGGCAAAGCGCATCGCGGCTCCCGCCCCTGTATGCGCGAGATGCAAGGACCAAGGACAAGGCGCCCTGGGCCCCATGGACGCTTGAATTTCGGGGGTGTAAGGACGGACGGATCGGTAGAATCGAATGGTGCTCCAGATCGAAGATATAATGTCTGTACTTCTTGGAGAAATCGATCCGATGAAATTTCCCATCAGAAGCAAAACCTGCAGAACTTTTCTTATCAGCCTAGGAATGCTGAAAGCAACTCGGGCATCGGGCATACATGCGTCGTTGCCGTCCTGATCGGGCATTACAAAGCTTCTGGTATGCTCGTATTAAGACTGCTTGGAGTAACAGCCACTTGCCACGCCGCCCAACCATTCCCACCGTCACCCCACACAGCAAAAGATGCGAGCTCGCACGTATGCTATACATGACTACTCCAAGAGAGACATGAAGAAGCACTCATGCAGTCAAACACGTACGTACATACAGGCATAGGTTCGTCCATCCTTCCATGCATGCATGATCATGTTTTCTTGCTGACTTGCATACATCCGCCCATACAAGCATGCAGCCATCCCAGCAGACATGTAAACACACACCCATACTCGCTGCACATGTGTAGCCCTATGTACATACATATGCACATACCCACATCCATCTCTTACATGCGCACACAGATCCGTACATGCTCACATCTCTTTTCTGGGTTTGGAAACCCTAAACCCTGAACCCCTGAGCCCCTAAACCCTGAACCCTAAACCCTGAACCCTGAACCCGAAAAACCCTATAAACCCTATAAGCCCTATACCCCTAAACCCTGAACCCTAAACCCTAAACCCCTAAACCCTAAACCCCTAAACCCCTAAACCCTTAAACCCCACTAAAGCCGAAGTTCGATCCCCGATCGATCCTCGGCGGTCCTTCTCTTCGGCGTCTCAA